GAACGGAAGATGTTCATTAAACAAACAAACATTAGAAAAATTTGAAGTTCATAGACGTAGAAAATGTTTTAAGAAAAGAATTACACTTCGAAAATAGGAACGTTTCCAGATGAAAATTTTTTAGCTCTTGATTTTTCATAGTAAATTTAAGATTCACTGGAATAACTGGGTGTCCCGTCCTGTTCCGTGTGTATGTATCTCTTGCTGACCAAAACCACACGTGATTTTCATTGTTTAAATCATTTTATTGGATGTCCAATGAAGAAAACGCTTTAAAAATCCATTGACCCACCCACAAAACCATAATCTATTTCGTAATAAATTTTCTATGTACTTCTAAAACTACTAACAATCGCATTGACATCACGCCATTTTATGAAAAATGACGTATTTTTTATCGTTTACTAAAAGGCGTCTGAAGATTTGTCAAACGCAAAAGAATTGGCAACCTTGCCCAATGCCAGACGCATAATAAAACATTATAGTAGGCAGTCGATCGCGTGCTAAACTCAATTGAAGTCTGGTACAACCGACCGTCCGAGCATGTAAAATCGATTTCGCATCCGCTCCCTTCGACGAACCTAACAGTCGAAATAAAATTCAGTATTTCCTACAATAAAGCATAGCAGGCGGTGGCTCAGTGTTCTTTGATATTTATATATATGTAGGGGATGTAAGGGAGAACTAGCACCAAACGCCGTACCGACAAAAAGAAATTCCAATGACTGCTACCAACTACCTTTCTCTAATGGCAGTCTCATTAGTCAGTAAATTATAGCGAAGCCAATGGTATATATAATTTTCGTATCCTGGCCTCTTCATTGAGGGCGGCGATCCTGGAAGAGTGGCGATGTGTTATATGAATATGCAGTGCACCCTCTTGCATGCAACCATTCACGAACGCGATGCGCCCTCTTCACTACCGAGGTATGCGAATGCAGCAAAGGTGCGTGTTCCAAAGCTGTGTTTCGTTAAAGGGTGAGAAAGAGAAACCATCAAAGCACCCCGCTCCGCCGTTCCATTGTCAGCGTCTACTTTGATGATGATGATGATGACTTCGGCGATGACGTTGATGATGCCCACGACGACGCGCAGCATGCTAAGGGATTATAACGTGCAACAGCGCTGCACGGAGGGTGGTACAAAACCCATAAGCTGCAAGAATTGGTGCATCTTGCATGCAGTAGTCAAAGTGGTGGTGGTGTGTGGTTGCTTTTGTTTTTCATCGCGCCGGCATGCTCTGCTTCAAATCTGTATGAATAGCCGGGAAAATCCTCTTCGTTTTTCGCGTTCTCTTTGCTTCCTTCATCTAGCGTGCTCTCATTAAGAGTGAAGAAGATCTGTATTGCTGTGCATCTGCAGGGATCCTGCTGTTGAGTGAGCTTTGTCTGACGGATGGATTATGTGGTTCTCGGCGAGGGTGGCGGATAAATAGCTACAGCGGAAAGAGGAGAAAAACAGGAACGATGACGGTACAAAAGTGAATGAAATTGGTTTCTTGAGAGCTCGTTGATAAGTGAGCTGCGATTAATTCCGCAAGTGGCGTGAAATTTGAAGAATAGTAAACGACGGGGAATAATATTTCTCGGTTGTTCACTTTTGTATCCACCCGAAATGGATTGCTTGGATCGTTCACATAAACAGACTAACACCCACAACTGATCCTAGTTGGCACTGCTGGCCTTTTGATTAGTGACACAGAAGGCTTTGAACTGAATGCGGAAACAAATTCCAATGTCACTAGATTTCTAATAATCCGGACTCCTAACTATGCACCGTATTGTGTGAATGTGTACGTGATTGTGATTTCAGTGTTACAAAGCACTACACACAACTATTGTTCGGCTGCGTAAATCTGTCACAGCACGTGATATTTTAAAATTAATTAAATCCGGTAAAGTTGGCCCTTCTGTAGAAGAGCGAGGACACACTCCGGTATCAGAAATCGTTCATCATGAACGAACAGCAGCGGCAGCATCAGTGGCAGGCATCGGAGCAAAAGTTCAATCCAACTTTTGCTCCAAAGCTGGAAAAGTGTTAGGAAGAGCCCCGAAGAAAGTTTTCTCCCTCCGATAGAGAGAGCTTAATCTGAATGTGATGAGAGGAAAATAACGGGGAAGCGGGAAGGGTAAGCGAGAAAATTTAATAGTGTTCCTGTAGGGAGCTGAAATTGAAGAAGAACGTGGTGTAAAGATAAAGTTTAATGCCGTCTTTCTTAGTCCCCAGATACGTCTTTTGGTTTGTGCCATAAGATGAAAGCTCTATCTATCTGCCACATACAACCGGTCTGGTTTCCGACGAGATGACGAGAAGTGGGCTGACTTTTCATCAAAAAAAAAAAAAGAGAAAGAGATCAACATCCTATTTGGCCAACAGGGGTACAATCTTCATCTTAATTTACCGTTGCGTGAGCTGGTTTTGAAACTCCGTTTGTCCAGAATTGACATTTTCGATGCTCGGAATCGAATGCCGATTTCGGTTGTGATAAGCTCGGCGTTATGTGAAGCTGGAATATGAGTCGTACGGTAACTTAGCCAGATCAAAGCAACAGGGGTGCCTGTATCGTTCGTATCGTATGGCATATGACAGTTTATGACATAAGCTGTTCGAATCGAAGCAACCATGAACGAGAGCTTGTTAATGGATAAGGTTACTAGGAATTAAAGTGAAGGCAAACATTGGGATTACAATGCTCGTTTTGGACATCACAGGTTTATTTATGTCTTCATTTCCAAGTAATGGAGACTCGTTGAATGGTGTTAGTCGTTATGATTTTGCAAACTGAATAAAGATTATTTTCCGGACCATTGCTGATGTTGTAATGTAAAGCTTTAAATCAGAAGTCATAATTGCGTAACTCATGAACCTAAGTGTGTATATAGAGTGTGAAAGTGCGTCAGTTATGGCACTATTTAAAATTTGCTCCAGTTTTGGCATGTCCCAGTCATGGCGTACGGCCATTTAAAGTGTGCTTCGATCAAAATATTGACGGGGTGGGCTAGCGTAAATTCTTTCACAAGGCAAGATAAACTTAAGTTAGGGCAAAAACTGGGGCCAAAATTTGTTCAAGAAATATATTATTATTCATTTAAAATTTAAAATTAAATATTACTGACAACTTTAGTTGATGGATCCATAAATGGAACGCTTTTATTAATCTCCTTAAGATGGGTAAACAAGTCAATTCTAATTGCCCACAATTGGTTTGCGTGAATTATAACAAACAAATAAATAAATAAAAGTACTAGAAACTAGAAATTGTTGTACATAAAATTAGATCCAGGGAAAACAATTCGGGATCCCGGAGTATGAAAATTTTAGAACCTTGCGGAACATAAGTTTCAGATTTATTAAAATTTTGTAGATTCCGGAACATTTTTTCGAGCCTAAATTTTGTTTAAACTATTTGAAGATTAATAACTTACACAAGATTTGGAGATCTAAACATAGATAACAAAACAACAGATTAGAATCTACGAGAAAATGTTGAATTTGTCTTAAAGAAACCTTACGTAAATTAAGAAAAGTGTTCAGCATTCTAGTCATTTAATAAATTTTCTAGCGAATTCTGATATGAACTTATAAGGAGAATTCAAACGACAAAAAGGAAATTTGTAGGAAGATTCCCACGGAATTAATCCTATTGTCGACCAGTTTTGGGGCAACCTTCTAGCAGCGATTTTAATAAATTGAAGCAATAAATGTCAAATTTTAAAAGCTGATCATTAATAAGACGCAATTTAAAATATTGTTCAACGGTAAAGTTCAAGTGGTACGTTTCCTACCTACATTTTAAACTGCTTATATGATGTGATCCATTCTGAGGAAAATTCTAAAGGAATTCTAGGAGACTGAATCATATTATTCAAGTAGTTTAAAATTACGTTTCCTGCAACTTGAACTTTACTATGGAGCAAATTTTCAAAAAATCTTCGTTTTATTTATGATAGGCCTTAAAAATTCAAAATTTATCGCCTCTTTTTCATAAAATCACCGGTAGGAGAACATCCAAAAGCTTCTCGACTATATGATTAATTTCAATAAATTGTTGGCTACAATTCCTAGCTAATTCTGGTAAGAGTTCTAAGGAAATTTTGAAGAAAACGATAATGATATTTTCAAGCCCAAGAAAAAAGATGATGGGTCTTGTGAGGAGAATATCAGTAAAACTTTATGAAAAATAATAAGGGAGACGAAAGTACAAGCAACATTCTGAAAATGATCCAAATAGAATTTTGGAAATATTTTTTTAAGGAATTGAACTCTGAACAGTTCCAACGGAATTTTAAAGAGAGTTCCAAGGAATCTCTGTGGAAATTCCATGCTTCAATGAAACTCAAAGGAGAATTTCAAAGTAATTCTAAAGGAAATTCTGAGTAGAGATACAAATATGAGAAAAATTCCAAGAGTGTTTTAAAGAATTCCATGAATGAAGAGAATTGTAGAACCATTCAGGGCAGAATTCAAGGGTACAGTAATTCAGAGCAGCATTCAAGAGCACAATAATTCTGGGAAGAATTACAAGGTAATTACTTAGAGTATACCATAAGACAAAAATAAAAACAAATTCAAGATTCAGTATTTGAAAAACAATATTCAGGACTCTGAGACATCGACAACTTTTTGCGAAATTCTATTTATTCTGGAAAAGGTTGGATTGACGAGAACCAATTCTAGAAAAATGATAAAAGTATTAATTTGACCGAATTTATAAAACTTAACAGGGCCTCCTCTGATTTGAAAATAGAGGCACAAAAATTAATACTCGCCAGCCAAGAAAAAAACACCTGACTAAGGTGCTGGACTGACATTGCTTAAGTTAAAAATATAACGAAACAGCAACTTGTCTACAAATACCGAACTCACACCTTCCAACGGTAATCGTAGCCGGTTACTTCGCTCAACCCCAACACTGCCAACAATCTTAGATTTAGTTAAATTATGCGAAAACAATATTCATCTAACATTTTTCTCCCGCCTCTTCTTCGTTCCTATTTCAGGTCAGACACAGAACACTTGAGACTTTTCACCGATTCCGGCCGCATCCGCTCGTTATCCTTTCTTCTTGTTTGGATACCCCATACCGGGCACATTTTCTTTCTCCCTAAACCGTCGTCACTAAACCATGTGAGGACAAACCCGTCCATCCGGAACACACTGATGCGTAGCCATCGACAACAACAGTGCTTATCCACCAACGCCTACTGCCACGAACGGCTCAATTGCGAGCGGGGAGCCAGAAAGAATGTAGAATGAAAATTCCAAGCACCAACAATTGCACTGTCCACTGCTGCTGTTGCTCCCGTTGTTGTCCTCCTGAGGCCATCGTCATCAAGTTGGACAACGCAATATGCACATTACTTCACTCGGTGGTGGAGGCGGTGATAGAAGAGGACGACGCGGCGTCTCCATCGGATCGGGTAAAATACTTCTCTGCTGCGTGCACATTCTGCTCGTGCTGATCAACGATGGTAAGCGTTTTGATTTATTTCCCACCCAAGCTTTTTGTTTTCAACCCTCTTACCACCCACCTACTGGTGCGTGCGAGTGGAAATGGATACGAAAAAATGCGGCACTTGAGTAACACGAAATGTGATATCTTGAGATCGTAGTGACCTAGTTTTTCCGTATCCCCATTTCGAGTTCAATGCATAAAAAAGGCCATTTGTAAATTGTTCATCTCTCATTTCCTGATCCGACTGGGAAAAAAACGCAGCTTTTGTTGACGGTCTACGCAAGGGGAGGCTCATGGTGCCGGCAAGCTATACGGCCCAAACGGACGATTTGGACATTCAGCTGCAAACCGAGGACACACCAGCCGAGCTGATGACGCACGATGCATCCGATCTGAAGCTACAAATTTCCCTTGTCAAACCAACCGGGGGAACGACAATCTCACTGCTGGATATTAAGCCGGACGTGAATCACAACGTGACGCAAATAAAGATCCCCTGCGGTTATTTCATGCACGGAGGAGCTTACGAGTTGAGCATTGAACAGCCGGCAGCCATCAACACAGTAGGCTCGGCAACAGCCGGCATGGAGTTCGATGAGCGACTGCGACAGCAGTTGAATGTGAGTTGGCCAACGCCTACTGTGAGTCTAGTGCCTAGTACGATCAGTACATATCCGGAGGAAATTGTCCGGGGGAGTCTTCGGTTCGCGGACGTTAGCTGCCCAAATGCGACGGCAATTAACGACGATTCAGCGGATGTGCCCGAATTCTGGCTTGAACTCGTTTACTGCGGCCATAACCCGGCATGTCCGCTGGAGAACATTTCCAAGCCACAGATTTTGTTCTCGGAGCAGGTCCGAGGTTTTCCTACCACTAGAGTGATTAATTTTCGCTGTGATCTTTTTGGATTAGCTGGATATTATCTGTTACATTTACGCTCGTCTACTCAGGATCCAACACTGGCGGGAGTTTTGAGTGGAGCGAGAGCTCTGTTGAAAGCGGATTGGAGTAAACAGTATGTTTTCACGGTGCACGCCAGGAGCATATTTCCGTGTGATGCTCACAGCTCCGGAATTCACGTCCTGTTTCAGTACCCTTCCTGCATCCTGAATCAATCGGATCGGATTCGAGTGTATGCAAAACTCCGAGCGGACGTATCATCGCTAGTGCCTCCAACCTCGCTGCATTACATTGCCGAGCAACGGGTGACGAAAGGGCAGCATACGCTGTATTTTGAGTGCGACTTGTTCTACGAAAAGTACATCGAGTACTGCTTCGTTTACGTGAGCCAGGCAATTTCCGGTGCCGTTGCCGATGTCCGGATGGACTGTGTACCAACGCTTCCGGTTTCGCGTGAGTTGGGATTTGTATGATTAAAATGCGATCACGGTTATTACTTTTTCTCTTCTTCTCTCCCTGTCCTTCTTCTCTGTTTTTTTTTTGTTTTATTCAACAGCCTCCGATTCTGGCGGATGGGGACCGTGGAGCAACTGGACACATTGTTCGACTACCTGCAGGGGTGGAGTACGGAATCGGTATCGGTTTTGCGATTCGCCTCCCCCTCGATACGGGGCGAAATTTTGCGAGGTAGGTGCATTGTATATAACTGTAATTGCAAACTCTTGTTACGAACTGTGCGGGTGGAGGATGCATTTCCAGAATATTGTTTACCAGTCTATGTTTGTACGTCGTATGAGTCAAATTTCAAAACCGTGTTTATATGAGTGGAAAAACACTGTTGTTTTATCATGATCTCTGAATGTCAATGTTTGGACGCTATAAAATGGGGAGCTGTAGAAAATAGTTTGCTAATTGTTACACTTAAATTCGGACCACCAATACTTAAAAGAGAAAAAAAAAGCTATGGCGGGAGTATTGATAGTCCTAAAGTAAGTATAACAATAAACAAAAAAACTTTGTTGGTTGGAGCAAAAGCGAGGATAACAAAATTCGCACTTGATAATGAGAGTACGCAAGTGTGCGTGTAATAAACGTTGAATAGGTCAATAAAACCAATGACGTAATCATTACGCAATTATATTTAAATTTCAACAATGGTCTGCAAGAAGAAGATTCAGACCAATTTCAATTGGGACGTCTGTGAACATGAAACTCATACATGGCGAGGTGTCTTTGGTGAATACCTTAAAAATAAAAAATGGCATTCCCGAAACCTTCTACATTTGAAGCGACGTTTCTGTTATTTTGACATTATTACTTAAATTTTGGAACAAATTTCTTTGATATTCGAAAATAGGTACTGTGAAAAGGATATCTTTGATAATGCGGATAACTTTAATAGTAGAATCTGATTAAATTTACTCTCTGTACTATTTCCGAATTGGAAACATTGGTTCCATTTTAAAGCTTTACCATTAATATCGTATAGAGTTGTTTAGTATATAGCTACAATCCAACAAATTCAATATACTAATAATTCATCAAAGTGGTTTAATGTATTTAAGGACAAAATTTCGAAAAAAAACCTTTGAATTTGCATAATTATAATGAACAGTTAAAGAAGTTTAATATATCTAGCAACACAATTTTATTTTATGGCACTAATACTGGAAACAGAGGCTCTACAACTATCCCAAACCTTAGTCAAAAACTGTGAGATCCAATCATCTAGGGAGTCCAGGTATGATAGCTCATGCAAATCTTCTGTTGAATCCCAAGTATATTGCAAGTTTTACCGAGGTATTAAATCATTCCACTAGTCAAAAATAATGGTCAACAGAACTCTCATTAAACCAACAAAAATACTTGGGATGGGAAGGGTTAAGGCTTAATGTAATTTTCAGCAGCTTGTTTTGCTGAATCTGCAACTTCCGCCAATGACCCACACAGTTAAAATTATTTTGTAATTTTACACGAATTTCCATGCACATAAAAAGAGCATGTATATTCATGTAAAATTAAATTAGTTTTTAATTTACACGGCTTGAAATTTACATGCACGTAACTGGAATTTTACATGGATTACTTAAGATGGGCCCATCTTGTAATTTTACAGTACATTTAAAATTATACGCAACCGTCGTTGGGCTCGTTGTCTTTTTGTAGAGGAATCTCAATTGCGGGAACGCAATGCTCCCGGAAAACTTTTTGAGATGTACGCTGATCTAAATATGCCAGCAGATCCGAACATCGAAAATGTTACGGTTGCACAATTTGTGACCTTCAAGATGTTTTGATGCATGTTTTGTCACCAATTTAGCACGATTTTCCACAAAATTGCACGTGGAAAGAAAAAATGAAAAGCTGATTTTTAAAATAAAAGTGGCACTCCGGAAAAACACATTCCATAGAACTGAGCTCACAAAACTTACAATACAACATTTTCCACTAAATAAATGACTCGAGCTGTATCCGGTGGAGAAAAAAAAAACTGATCGAATAATCAGTTTGTTCGCCATATTAGCTTCCTCAATTTGTTTGATGATTTAAATTTACACGAGCATGTTAATTTATAGGTTTTATCGTCGAAAATTCAATGTTCTTTGATAAGTTTTCACATCGCGTGGTGATATTACACTACAAGTGGAAATTAATCTAATAAACGTGTAATTTTATAAGTTTTATCATGTTCGTTTGAGGTGCATGATTTTTAATGTAAAATTGAATTGAAACATAGTTTTAAAGCGATGTAATTTTAAAATAGTTATGGTTTACATGTCATGTAAAATTCCTTATGTTTTGCTGTGCATGGCACAATTATGCAATACAATTCGCTAATTGACGTCTTGTTCTGTGATTTACCAGTGAGTACATCCAAAACAAATGGGATGAACATCAAATGCAAGTGTTGATTTCATGCATCCTCTGCCAGTTTGCGTCTAAGCTTCCGACGGAACTGACAACAGCGGAACCCGAAACGCAGCTCCTCCAACAATTAGAATTCCATTGAAAATACATTTGAAGATATCCTTCGTTTGGCCATAAGATCGAGCCGAAAATTGAAAAAAACAAGTTACGAATAAACATATGCGAAAAATTTGACAACCGAAAAATGTTCGCATCCGTTTAGAAGCAGGGCACACTTCGATCTCCCGATTAGTTGAGTGGCATCTTTTGAACCCAAATTGTTGAGAGAGAATTATGCTGACTGGTTCTACGTGTTTACTGAGGCTGTGAACCATATTCCGAGTTAAATTTAACCCGTGGTTAAAAGTGACATTTCGAAAGTTATTTTCTATGTTCGAAAATCCCTGTGCTGTCGATCGACCGGTTTTCGAGAAGAACTTAGCCAAGGTTGTCAAAATTTAACTTCTTGTCCGTCAGAAGTAACCACGCTCGGATAGCAGGGTTATTCGATAGCTTTCCATCTGTCAAATTTTAACCAAAAGTTAAAATAATCCACCAGAGCCTGAGCGATGACAAAAGGCCTTTTTGGTCGGTAATTGAACGGGTTCGTTATGTCATTTCTCGCGTAATTTTTCAAATAGACCAGGAAATAGACCGATTCTCCGATAATTTTTCAAATAGACCGATTGATCGATTCTCTTCATCTACTTTCTCTTTCTCTTTCTTTAATAGTTTGGTTGAATTTATATTTTGGGCTAATCATTCTACAAAGACTGTTAAAAGAAAGTATTATTAAGCTTATTGGAACCGAGTTATTAACGAAAGAGAGAGTCGATTAGGAGATTGGTCTGTTTGAAATATGACGCTAGATGTGTCTTTTGTTAGCTTTCGATATGTTACCGTGACATGCTTCCAGTTCGTTGGGAAATAATAAAGCCACAGATACACATTGAAAATCTGCGTGAGAACACGAGCGCCTTTCTAAGGAGATGTTTTAAAAGTAAATCTACTTAGCATTTGAAACTAACCTCCTCAGAAGTGTGGAATCGCTAATAAAAGTGCGCTTTTACGTTGTATTGTTTTTGTGTTTTTTGTGTACTTATTCCTTATGAATCAAGAAATAAGTGCGCCGACACTAACATTATGTAAAGTAAAAGCATACTTTTATAAGCTTTTCCACACTTATAATGTGTGGTAAGCAGTACAAGATCTAGGTTTACAGCAGTGTCTTGGATCAGATTGACTGAATTTATAACCACTGCAGCAACGTGCTTGTCCTCTGACAACGACAAACCGTTAATTTTATCTAAAAATAATATCCCAAAGGAAATTTAACATTTATGTCCATCACAGTCAAAACTTCTCATCGAAATCAAAATTTTACTTCAAAGTTCTTTTAAACCGCCAACAAAATGCAAAGAATTAATCAGCAACCTGCCTCTGGTAGGAAACAAAGTAAAGAATAATTTCTTTATAACCATAACACCTGCCGTCATTTACCATTACCGTGTACCACACCGTCAAAACAGCTTCCAAACTCACAGGATTCACCAGAAGCTCCATTCAAAATTCAACTCATCAAAGAAGGCGTCTCCATTGCCACCACCTACCGAGCCGACCGACCGACACGGCGAGGACGACGAAATCGGCTCACCAACTCAGGCAGTCCAAGGAGGCAGTCACTGGTAACCATGACGGTGAAATATTGAAAATTTATTGCTGGCATAAAAAATGCCGACAAAACCATGTTCATATTCTAATTTACCACCCACCGGTCCTCCCCGTATCACGCCATGAGCCGACCACGCCAGACACGATGATGAAGCCGCCTTCTTTTGCTCGCCATGTGTGCGCTTATTTCAATTTTTTTTCCCTTCATTCTTGGTGTGCATAGCACGCTGCAAAATATGGGTTTACCTTTGCGATGAATTCAGAAACTGTGGGATTGAGCAAAAGTTTGAAAATTTAATGAATGTTGAAAGAACCGTTGAAATTGCTCTAATTTACCTAACATTACACTTCAATATAGTTAAATTCAGACAGTAGGGGGGAAGGAATGTCGAAATTGAAATGTAATCAAAATTTATCGGAAAGCCACCACACCACACAACACACTGCATCGTAGTATGTGGTGCCGGGCGCTTCTACTCTTCACATACCAACCCATCAGCCTACCAGGTGAGCTGGCTAGCTACTGCAAGGAAATTTAATCGATATAAACTTGCCGACGGGCACTCACAACCGGTGTATCGAAGTGCAAAGCAACCTGGGTGTTTCACAGTTGATTGCGACATTCGAAAGGGTAAAGAAGGAAATTGCTAGTTCTCATCGATTGGAAGATGCCAAAGGAAAAGAAGGCTAAAAAACCGAAGAAGGCCGTACCGGACATTCAACCGGTGGACGGACTCAGTGCCGTGGACCGACAGTTCTTTGAGATAACCATCAACGATTTGAACCAAAAGTTGGCCCGACTAAGAACGCATAATGTCAAAATTGAGGAGCGTAACGAGGAGTTGGAAAGTAAGCTGAAGCAAATCGAGGAAGATCGAGCCGATGTGACGGCTTTTCTAGACCGAACCCTACAGGAAAAACTGGCAGTGATTATTGAGCTCGAGGACAAGCTAAGTGAGTTGTCAAAGGTTCGAGACCAGGAGAATGAAGAATGTAAGAAGCAGATTGTCACCTTGGATGCAAAGTACAAGGCAATGCACGAACAGTTGACGTCGGAAATTAAGCTGCTAACGGGAAAGCTTAACTCGATGGAGGAATTCCGCATGCAACGGGATGAATTGATGGCCAAGTTTGACGCCCAGGATACGGAATTGAAGGAACAGAACAAACGCCACAAGACGACGCTTTACGAAATGGAACGCAAAGTTATACTGGATAAGGATCGCTTGCGGAAGGACGTGGAGAACAAGTTGCTTCAGCTGTCGACGGAGTTCACAAAGTCCTCTGAAATACGGGTAGCTGCTCACACTCAGAGACTGGTTCGTGAGAATATCGCGCTGAACAACGAAATGGATCGAATGATTTTTACTCAAGAGCGATTGGAGAAGCAGTATGCCCAATTGCAAGCGCAGAATTTGGATCTCCGCAACCAAGCCGAGATCGATTTGGTAGAGAAGCAACGTCTAATGCAGACATGTCAGGAACGATTGGATTTGATCAAGCAACTAGCCGACCAATACGAACAACAGCTGCACACAAATGCTCAACTGCACGCCTACAAGGAGAAAGCAGATGAGTTCGAAACGGAAACTCAATCTACGAAGAAAGAATACAACCATCTACGCCAAAAGGTCCGCATCCTCGAGCAGTACATCCACTTCATCAATACCGATCGCCAATCGCTGCGCAACGAGTCAGATCACAATCGTAAAGAGTTTGATCGGATTTCGGAGATTTTGAAAACGGTTCGCTTTACCGTGCGTTCCGCCTTCAAAGAGGACGAACAGGAGGACGATTTGCCGTATCAGGAAATCAAACGCAAACGCTTGATTGCTGACCTGTTGAACACGTTGACCGAACTGGAACTGAAACCTCTGGTCACCGTCTCCGTAGCAACGATCCCGGAAGGAGCCGAAGGGTACGAGCAAGGCGATCTCGGCGTTATTCCACGAGAGACGATCGATTCCATCATAGCAAAGACGCAGGTGTCCTATCTTCCGGATACACCACTGATCAGTTCGGATGTGACTTCTTTGGCGGAGGAACAGGAGGACAGCGTCAGCTTGCGGATTGCTTCCGGAAGCGATGTGATCGTCGACGTGGTCAGTGGTTCACAGCTGGTTTTCAAAGCATCAGAAGAGACGTACGAGGAGGAAGTTGAGCCGGCGAAAGAGGAAGTGGAAGAGGAAGCCGAAGAAGAGATGGAGGATGGCGAAGAAAAGGGGAAGAAGGAAAAGGAAGCGGAAGATGAGCTGCGGTCGATTGGAGATGAAGGAAGCGTCCATGCTTCGGAAGCACGGTCGATGGGTTCCGAGCGGCCGGAAGACATCATCATCGATGCGCCGGATGTTTTCGAGGATGAACCGATCGAGTTTGGAGCCACCAAGAGTGATTCGGATTAGAAAACAATCGAATGCGATATTAAATTGTTTGGTGTGGATTTTTTGAACTTCGGGGATCTCTTTGATGCCGAAATGGGTCCATCTGTATAATTCACCATGGTAGTTAGGCTTCGTGCGCAAATTACGTACTGCATTGAGGGAGATGGAGAGGGTTGAGCATGAGTTACTCATTGTTACAATGGGAAATAATACGTAACAGATTGACCGATGTGAAAAGAAAAATCAAAAGCGAAAAATTATAGTTTGCCATTAAATATATCCTCTTGCGCCCCCACATAAAAAAAAAAACGTTTTAACTGTTAATTATGATTTTTATTCACTCTTGAAAACACTCTCACCTAAACCATCGTCAAAACCTCATTTATTTTTCGTCAGTGGCAAAATTCACCTAGTAATAATTAGTATTATTTTGTACATTCTCGTTCATATTATTGTTATAAATGAACTTGAGGACGTAGATGAATGTTTACTTTGACGGCTCTATGGATTTATTTTACTTATTCAATTATGTTATAAGAAATTTTGCAGAAAACAAAACATGCTGCATTGTCACTGACACATGGCATCCTTTGCAGATCATTTTTATTTCGTCGAACGTTCGAGAATTTGCAGCACTTTTTGGAAGTGAGAAAATGTCCAACAATATTGTAAGCAGCCAGCCTTAAATTCGTCTTTTCTAGTATTGTGATTCAAATAAACAAACATAAAAAAGATTGTGAACCGACAAAAGTCAAGACCTGCATATACACGACAAACTTACGTTACTCGCCTACTGCGTCTCTGGTTGATTTCACATAGTCATAGCCTCCTATACACAGTTACCACGCAAAAATAACAACTCCCTCAATAAGACACCTAGGATAGATGTACTAGTCATGGCTACACAATCCTGTTATGGTGTGTTCCAAATGGGAATTTCATAGACCAGAACTGAAGCACACCATAATAGGAACGTATAGCCATTTCTGGTACACCTAACCTACTTCATCTCTTCACCCACAGGGTGCCTCCGTTCAAACGGAACGCTGCGGAACGCAAACTTCGTTCGATTCGTGGGAATGTATGTTCAGTCCCGGTGCCGGCAGTACTCTCCCATCGGAAATCGCCGACGTTAGTACCGAAATAGGGCCGGCCTGTCGGTGCGGTTGCATCATCCACCTGGGAGCGGTCAAACCAAAACGGATAATAGCATCCTCTTCGGAAAGTTGCCCAGAGCGTAGTCTTTGGTTGATCCAAGGCGATGGAGGCCACCGGATACGATTCACCATGGACTACAGCAAGTTCCCGTGCGATCAACAGTGGTTGAAGGTTCGCGATGGCGATAAACTTTCCCACGAGCTGATCCTGGAGTACGCATCGGGGCATATCGAATCCGGCAAGAGTGCTGACTCGACGGGTCCGCATCTGTTGGTGGAGTTTCACTCGAAAAAGATGGAACACTACGACGAGAACTGTATCGCTGGGTTCCTCGGACAGGCGGAGCAGATAAGTATGCAGATGATGTGGGTTTTCCTCAATGAATTTCCATTGATCGTGTTCGATATTTCCAGAAATCCTGCACAACAACGTTTCCGTTTCGATAGCCAGCAGAGTCATTATGCCGTTTGTGCAATCCTTCAGTTATGCAAACCTCACGATAGTTCACATATGTGCAATAATATTCTTAAGTTTCATTATCTGCATTAGCTTCCTGCTGTTGGTGCAGTACATCTTCCGGTATCGCAAGTATGAGCTGGCGACCAGTCTGATGGAGCCAGATTCTCCAGCTCATACACTGTTTGGTTCAGGAAATTCCCTGAACCACTCTCAACAACCACGATCACGTGCCATGTCGACGACTACGTTGATATCGGAGATCGTTTCCTATGTGAAACTCCGACCCAAGAGGGGCTCCTTCAAGCATAACCGACTACGGGAAAGCGTAGAATATACTATTGAAAATGTGGACCTTCCCTCGGATGGAAGCACTGAGTTGATCGGGAAGGCCCAATCTTCGGAGAAGGTTGATGAGATCCCGTTGCAGAATCTCAACAATCTCGATCATCCGAATGGGAGTGAGTGTAGTTCGCCACCGACGGAAGTGGCCGAACCATACTCGGACGATCAATCGACAAACGTCAGCTCGGCGTCTTCGACGTTGAACAGGGAAGAGACTCCACTGGTGACGAGGGGAGAATCGAAGAAGACTCCCGAACGAAGGAATCAGAGTAAAAGTGAAGGTGAGTGGGTTGAGTAAACATCTTTGCATAATGACTGATGATATTTTCGGTTTCTCAACAGGGGAGAGATCACCAAGCGAGAAGATTCATCTGGCAAGCAGTAGCAGTACGGTTACCCTGACGAACGTCAGTCCATCGGACGTTGTAAGTATATTATAGGAGAACTGGGGGTAAAATTCAATTCTCTCATACGATTACATTGTGCGGAATTTAAAGCAAGCGTTGACGGTAATTTTGCCATGTGAGGCTCAAAAGCATTATCAAAACAAGGCTTGCTGAGCACTTTTAATGATACGATTGACGAGTGAATCCTTTTTACCTGGGAGGGAGAAGCAGATAGCACGCACGGAATTTATTGTATAGCTTGTTCTTCTTGTCATGGAAGTTTGTGCCATTGAAATCAAATCAAAATAGGCGTAGCAAAATAGCTTGTTTTGCTTTGAGCGTGTGATGATTGTTTGAGATTGTCCAGTGTGCAGCGAGAAAATGTACTTGTCTGCTATGTATTTTATTGTGCCACTAAATATTTTGACAAAAAACATGGTAAATGGTACCTTTCAATAGTGATTTGTGTATATTCAATGAATGAATTTAAAAAAAAAACGAAGTCCTATTGTATAAGCTAGCTGGAAATGACAGTTGGTTATAAATAACTTTATGCAATACCACCTTGTGTATTTTTGTTCAACTGTAAGAAAGTATCATCAAACTGCTTGGCTCCCAATGACGGTTCTGTCGTGATAGCTTGATTATGGCTCTTTTTGACGATCATATTCTTCTCCCTGGAAACGTGGAGTGAAAGGATTTCTTCAATCTTGTCCTAGCAGCAATTATGTGTATTAACCAACAATCCACCGTGATCATCAATCTACCTTTATCAAAAATCTGATTTGATCAACACTCAGCCATGATAAAACATGTCTACGCCCAACAACGAATCGAATAATTTTATTTAGATTAACAATCTACCCTGACAAACAAATTACCTTGACCAACAACCTGTATCTTCAATTGTCTTGATCAACAAACCAAAGTAGTCAAAAATCTACTTTGGTATTTTTTAAATTCTTTGGCTGGTTCGCCATGCGGTAATTAATTTGACTTGATCAACAATAGGCCATGATAACAATGTGCTATCCTCAACAATTTTTGTTGTTCCACAATCAGTCCGAATCGATTTTTTTTACGACCACCTATTTGCCATGATCAACAACCTGTCTCAATCACTAATTTGCCTTGATCTAAAATGTGTTATGATCGTCAAACTTTCTTGATCAACAATCTACCCTTATCAAATGCTGAATGTACAAATTGCCTGGTTTAACCTACACCCGTTTGATCCGATTTTCAATTTTCTTTAATTTGCAGCAGTGCTGATAAAAATCATATCTTCTACACTCAAATAAGCTGAAAATGAAGGCAACCTTGAAAGATAAACCAACTATTTGCATGAATTTGAATTTCGACATGATAACTAGAAACGCTGGAATAAGAGCCCAGCGGAGACACTGTTATGATTCCAATCGAACTGTCAAAAGCGGTTCCAATCTGCAATGTTTACAAATGGTTTGCTTCAATTAGGGAGGAGTATTAAAATCGTTTAACAATCACTCATGAACTCGATCGTCGGTGCATTAGCAAAGTCACTCGCAAGCAGTTACAAATGCAAGTGATGCCAGGATTGCTTTGATGTTTATCTTGTTGCCAAATTCATGTTTTTTTTTTCTCCGCTGGTCTCTTATTCCAGTGTTTCTAATGACAACATGTTTTTGGTCAAGGCAACCGCTGAGTTTCGAAGTCAACAATTGTTTTTTCCTAGGGGCATCCCACTTTAAACTTTAGTTCCAATATTTATTAAATATTTTTAAATATCTCGTTAGTATCGCTTGGTATTTTTAAGTATTTTATTTCTTGGTTTTATTCCAATCGTAGTAACGTTTGTTTTATGACCGGTTGCTAGTGCTGTGTTTGTTGTTTTTTGCACCATCAGTTCGATAACTTTAATCGCGTGATATGTTCATTTTTAAGAGTATAAAATGAGTTCATTTGAAATGAAGTGTGAATTCATTGTAAAGGGTAAGTATTTCAAATCTGTCTACGAAAGAATATAACAAAATGTATGTTTTTCAGTGATCTAAAATGTGAAAATGAAGTACACCAAGTCTTTTTGATCCGTTTTCTCTAACATCAGAAGCCTAGAAGACGATAGTGGAACCAAAGAGCTTTATATGTGAACAGTCCTCTACAATTAAAGAACATTTAATTACTGTACCTTCAGTATAGCGTGTTCATCATATGGAAGTGTTCCATATTTGTGGAAGAATGTATGTTGTTGTTGGCTGTATATATTATGAAATAAAAGCTGAACACTTATTCTCAAGACTACTAAACATTTAACAGACTAATCATAGTTTCCCGAACCACCGAATCTATAAATAACAATAATTTGAAAATAACAATATGGATTTTTAAACGATAAAATGAAACATGGAAACTGGAACATTTTTGTAAGGTTATCGTTCAGCTCATGAATCTATTTAATGAGCATGCCCCCAATATCGCCACATTTTTTAAAATCTATCCACTAGAAGCTAGTTCAAGCCTCTAAGGGATTAAGTACGTCATGGTCTTTTGGTGACGGTGAATTGAATGTTATGATACTCGATTTTTCGATTTGAACTTGTCTAACTTGGCGACCTTCATGAGCTTCAAGTAGAAGGGCATCGTATGCGGGGAAAAACTATACTTATAACAAGTCATTTCCAGATCTGTATTTTGAACGATACATTTAAATGAGCAATAGTCGAAAGGTTCCAGTGGCCATCAGTATAGCTTCCTCCTGGGACTGGATCAACGAGTCACGTACGATACGGTCAGTGGCGTGTAGTTAATTCTATTAATATTGAAACTCACAATTGTTTGACACCGGGACTTCTGCGCCATCTCTGAAGGGGACATGTCTACATCCCTTACTGCTGGTCTAAGCCAGTCGGCAGTTGTTGGGGTGGGCACCAAAGGCCTGTTTTGCTCCCGGGTCTCCGGGCGTTGGCGAAGTAGGGAGAGTTTTCGGAATTATGAGAAACTTTACAAAAAGGGTTAATTTAGGCTTTAATTGAATGGTTTTATTGATGCAATGGCATGCTGGAGGTGAAACACTTAAGCTGCTGCAATAGAGAAACCGGCCACTGTCTATGTCAAGCTGCCGATCCTCGTGGCTATCGGCAGCTGTAGTGTGAACTGATCCCAGATCCTGGGAGACGACGGACGTTAGCTGTCCAAGAGGTTGCAATCTCGGTCTCTGAAAGGCACAGTATCACCGCCTTATAGTAAAGCCCTACAGTAAAAGTATGGACGACTGTCACCACAAAACTGAAAAAAGCTGTTCCAATCGAGCAAAGCGGTGCAATTTGACGGTTCGATTGGAACAACTTTTGACAGACGTCCATACATTTACTGTAGGGCTTTACCTTATAGGCCTTATAGGTCCCAGAAGTTGCAATCTCGGTCTCTGAAAGGCACAGTATCACCGCCTTATAGGCTCTTCACACACTACCTTCCAAAAGTTCCAATCGCCACCCGTCACGAAACGCATAGATGGCTATCGACTACAAATTAACCGTTAACTTTCTGAGCATACTGAACACTGTTTCTTTTCCTATCGTCTCACAATTATACGCAACAAAAAACTGTTACCGTTCGGTAACAATATGATAAATGTTAAATGTACTCAAAATCAGATAAGATTTGAATCAAAACGTCAGATAAACAAACAAATTAAATTTGATTATAGGCTATAGCAACCGAGCAAACAAACCATCGCTAGATATTTCTTAAGTATTTATAAATATTCCGAGGTATCTATAGGTATATCGATAGAAATACAAAGTGTAGAGTGGGATGCCCCTAGGTTTTTTCCTTTCATTCAAAGATGCGTATTCATTTACATCTGTTCTGTTGTCATATCAATATTCATAATGAGGATGATTTTGAGTATCAAATGCGAAATGATTATTTTTGTTTTACACAAATATACCGTTGTGGAACGTGTTATGTTGCTTTTTTCACTAAGATCGATAGAAGATTATTGCCTTTTGCAGAATTGATGGTAATATCGAGGTTTTAGGCTCTGTAATCGACAATTTTCAAAATATTCATTTATGGAAAAATGAATTGGATGTTTCGATTTTCAAAACAACTGCAATCTACACACTGAAACAAGGACCATAGTTAGGAATACACAGCAAAAAAATAATTTTGATATCACGTCAAAGTGGATGCACTACAATCATGTCGAAAATATGGTGTAATATTACATGCTAAAAAGGACAAAATTATCATTAATACAATGCATTAACTGACATTACGCTGCTTTTACTGCATTTGTTTATTTATGTGGTCATAAAAATTACATGAAATTTTCGACATGATTGTAGCAACAATCAATACGAAACTAACGATTTTAAATTGGCTCACCACTTTAGTAGCCTATTGGTCCCAAGCAAACGATTAACGTACCCTATTCTAGTCGAAATTCTAGTACTACGCAATGTTTGTTTTGATTCGCTATGAAAGTTTGACAGATAAAATGAGGGGTTATTGGTTCTTCCTATGTTTCGAGGGGTGATTCGACAAGCTTGGGACCAAAGATAGTACCAGAGGTGAGCCAAAAAGTTGAGCACGTTTCTTCGGGACCTACTTGTCTTAGAGTTACCTCTATGATTGTAGTGCATCCACTTTTATGTGATATCAAAATTATTTTTTTGCTGTGTACTATTTTGCAGAAAACACTTATTCTCAATATAACCATGCTTATTACAGTTAAATCTACTATGAATTGAGTATCCAGTATTTTAGATCGATTATGGCCGCCATAATCTTGTAGAGTTTCGGCACAGAGAACAAACATTGAGGCTCGAACAAAATTTCTTTAAAAACTTGTGCAAAGATTCCTATTTGACTTAAGCGCCACTAACGGCGACTTCCCCACTTAAAAACCCTCTATGACACTATGATGGCGCTGGCGTTGCACAAATTACACTAGACACTAAGTGCTAGTAGCGCCAAGTGGCAATTTTCAACAGAAAATTTATCGATACTAGCGCCAAATTGGTCGAAAGTCGAAAATTTATAGAGAAAATCAGGAGATGCTAACACCACGTAACGGCGACGTTCCCACTTATTTTACACAAGTTTCTGACCGAACTTGAACGTCTGTTCTCTGTGGTTTCGGGTAGGGAACATAAGATTTGAAGTTTGGGTTGTGTCGTTTGACGTGTAAACGATCAAATTTCACAACCCAAACGTCAAATCACAGACAAACATACATAACGCTCGCAAGTTGTTCATCAAACAAGCATTTAACGGACAATTTAAAAGTATCGTAGTTGGTAGAGTGCCGCCATCTGTGGCGCTCATAGTCATTTCCCTTGTGTTTGACGTTTACACACTACCACCATCTGTCCAGCGTAGTGCCCACCAAAGTGTACACAACAGATGGCGGTAATGTTTTAGCGACGATGTTTTACAGTGTGAATTATTCAATGTGTTATGTCTGTTTGTCTGTGGTCAAATCATATGATCCCTACCAAAAACTGAGCCAGATTGTGGCGGCCATAATCACTCGTAAAATGCTGAATAGTTGACTATGAATGTTAACCAATTTACTATGATCCAGGCTAAACTACTATCCTTGGTCAAAATGCATAGTAATTTTGATAGAAATAATAGTAAAATTAAGTGAAATTGTTTTCTGTACAAATCCTCTGATGACGGTATTTAATTTAAACCAGCAATATAGTATTTTTATCAATGGATTTCGTTTCAGTGCAGTGGATAGAAGCGATAGTCAGTACGTGTGAGGGCTTATGAGAAAAACTGACACTGATTTGCAGTGAAATACCTATCAACAATACCAATTATATGTAGATTCGATTCTTCTTGTTCTTCTCTAAAACCCTCGTTACACGTCAGAATCTCATTCAAATTATTGATAAAGATGACGGGAATCGTGCTCAATAACATTAGGATGAATACCAAAATTAATAATTAATTAGGGTGGAAAAGTGATAACTTGGTGTTACGAATTGTTAAAGGAATCTAAAGCTTGCAAGAAATTAAGATCCAAAGAATAGATTTTTTAAGGTTACAAACTCATGTTTTGCTTGATAGCTTGGTGCTATTAATCTCCCTATCAAAATGAAAATTCCCGCACCGCAGAGCCACACTCTCCGTTTTCACTGAAGGTGCACTTGAGAGCGCTCTCGAGTGCACCTTCAGTGAAAACACAACGTTTAGCTCTACGGTACGGAAATTTTGCATTTTGATAGGGAGATTAATAGGATTAAACTATCTATTTTACGATGGGTTAACTGAAAATTCAACTGGATTTAACGCTAGCATTCTATATTAAAAAGCAATGACAAAATCCCAAAAGCGCGATCCATCACAGATAGGGTGGACAACATTTATTCGATGACTAATTAGAAGTAATTATGCTGCCGTTAAACGCATAACTGCCCCTCGTTCTATGCAATCCTTATGAACCGTGGAACAGTTATGTGTATAATATAGATTTGGAAAATGCTGCCGCTCATCATGCAACCAATCCATTTTTCCCCCAGGAATGTTCCTCGCCGGCGTCCAGCGTGGCCAACATCATCAACAACCGTACGCGCAACCTCAAGGAAAGCAAAGAGAAGAAGAACCTCCAGAAGCTCCTGGCCGGATCGGACTTCTCCCTGGGGAACCCCGAAGACATGGAAATGGACTATTACGATTACAACGTGACGAATGCCGGTGCAGCGCCTGGTTCCTATCTCGGCATGGATCCGGCTTTTTTAGTATGGATTCCTCCTCTCAACGATGAGGACATCACGGAGGAAGTCGATCTGGAGAAAACCGACAGCGAGCTGGAGCTGTCTTCCGAGCCACGGAGCAGTAACGTGACACCGAATGAGGAGATCATCAAAATCCTTCAACAAAGGAGAAACGACTATCTCATAGTGAACAGCATCTCCAAGAGTGACATCTACTCGGAAGTAGGGGACCAACCGACGGATAATCGATCCGTTAATAAGAAAAATCACCTACAAGAGCTGGCTTTCAACAATGCGAGGCGGAAAATCAGTCCTCCCATGGCGGATGATTTTATCGAAGAGGAACGGGAGAAAGAAACATCCTTCACCAAATCCCCAGTGGATAACAAACAGATTTCCGATTTCTACGATGTGGCTGACATTCAGTTCGCCGACGACGAGGAGGACGATGACGGTGATGATTCGACGCCCGCGATCAAGACCAACGGCGAAGCGGACGTAACGACGGCGAAATCGACCAAAGTGTGAAACGTGTGTACAATACTTCTTTCGTCAAACTGGGCATATCGGTATCATAGATAGTTGTGGAGAACTTTTTATTCCCTTAGTAGAACTAGAACCACCAACCAAAACAGAGAATGGGACCTCTTTCTAGTCAGGTATTTTCACCCCGAAAGACGTGTGTAGTAAAGTGTATTAGAAGCTCCAAGTAAAAAAATATATATATTTACACCGAACGACAGTCGAGACAGTCGCAAGATGATGATGATGATGTAGCGGAAATAGGAATTGGAAACATGAGTGTGGTTAGTTGCCTTTTTGCCCCTTTCTCTTCTAGAAGTGATTGATTGATTTTTGTAATATGAAGCCCAGGGAATTGAGCTGTCACTGCTGTAACGCCTATAGTCATTTGTCACATGTATTAGCGGATTTGTGATGAGCTTTGTCAAGCTTCAGAATCACGATGGATTGTGGTCCGGTAGGGATTGGAAAGTGCAACGCAAAGCGGTGAGATTGTAGGATGTATATAAAGAATTAGTTTGTTTGTTATTCGAAAATTAGGGAAGAATCGTGTACTTATTATTATTTTTGTTTCCATTATAGACTGACTGACTGATTGTACATTGTAGTTGCAAAGTTGTAGGTTCTAAGGAAAAAAAATGCAAGCTTTACAGTCAATTGAATGCAATTTGAGCATAACTCATAACTAAGGTTAATGACCCAACAAACATTAAAAGCTGAATAAGTGCTTATTTAGGCAAAAGTGTGCTACTTCAGCTAAACAAATAGATTATTCAACTTTTAAGTTTTAATCATCTCAAATTGTTTGATGGGGAGAATTTTATTTTTACCTTCACAAAATAGGCAGTTGCATAAACGAACATTAAACAACGTAATTCACTAGTAAACGAGGTTGTCTGACTTTAGGTATACCGTACGGTGCCCGTTAAACGCTGGACCTCCATTCACCGCTAATTTTTTTTATATTTATATTTAACCATCTTCACTATCATTTTACTGATTATTATCGAAATTGTGAAGCGGTGATTGAAGACTAGACTGATGCACAATTTCAAGTTTTCGCTCCACAATGCTGAAACGGTTTTAAAAACTTCGAATGTGATTCAAAATGTCGTGTTGGGTTGTACAAACAACGCGGAAGATTTTTTCGATTACCGCGAGTGAAAAAACCGGTCCTTTTTCGGAGGCAGAATTTGGTGAGATCCATCTGATTTATAATCAACCATAAATGCACATTTCCATATATTACTAAATACGCGCCAGATTTCGAAACATCACATTTCGAAATATGGAAGTGTGTTTGCAGTACCATTATTTATATGATAACGGTAGTGTTTACATGCGGGGCTTATTGTATGTGAAAGTAACCTCGGAATGGACGTGAATTACCAGGCATTCTGAAATGGGTTGCTGAATCTGCAGTAGAGCTATCGCTTTCTAACTCCCGGACTAAACTTGCTTTCAATTATTACATCAAGGATTGTTTTAAGCAAATTTCTTCCATAATACCACTGCCGGCCAGTGGGGGTTAGATTGAATACACATACACACATACACACACACAATGCTGAAACGGTTTTAAATCCGATTAGCTTCCCAAAATTCGAACTCATTTGATAAGAAACTGACTTGGCACAAACCATACAAACATACTTTTTGTTTATTGTCTTCTAGCCTCTTCCCATATTTATCTGTTCAAAAATTCTATAGCTATCCGTAATTAAACATTACCATAAACGAACGATTACCCAAATTATTGAACTATTCCATAAATGGTTTGGATGATAACCCTAACACGTCGTTAAGCAAATTAATCATAGCATTTTTATTAGGGATTCTTACGTGAAATATTCTCAGCAACAACTTTGCAGAAGATCGTTTTTCAGCCAAACGTGACATAGTAGCCATGATTTTTGTGCTCTATTCTACGTGTCAGAAACAGCAATGATGCCTGCTGAACAGTTGATTGAGGTTACATTTTATCGAAAAGTGGTCTTGAACAAAGTTGTAGCTGAAAAAAATTCCAACAAGTGCATTTATCATTTTTTTTAAAGCAAAGCGATATGGTGAATTGTTAGATAGATATGAACAATACATTTGTTTTTCGGTATAGACTTAAAATGGTTTGTGCCAAGCTAGTTTCTTATTAAATAAGTTCACAATTTGGGAGGCTAATTAGGACCCTATTTAAAAACGTTTGAGCACTGTGGAGCGAAAATATCAAATTTTGCATCAGTCTATTGGAGACCGCTAACATTTCAATAACTTACAAACCGTATAATGCAGTAGTGATCCGACGGCCCACGAATGCTTTCAGTATGTGGAATGTTTGCCCGCAGACTGACCTAACATTTAGAAGTTCAGAGTTGGTTGGAAATGCTATCTAACATGAAGCTTTAGTGTGATAATTTATTAGCTAGAGAATGATATTAGAAGAGGGTAGGTGGATAGTTCCGTTAGAGTACGACAGTATGAAAATTGAATAGAAGTTGAAAATGAGCGAAGGGCCATTAATCTGACAGTACAAAGTCAAACGCACACCTTTTGCCTAACCCGTACGATGTGCGCGGAGATTTGAAGAATGTCTTCAAATCTAAAAAAGTGGCAAAAAGTGTGCGCCCGCCTTTGCTCATTACTATCTGCGACTGTGGAAATCGCAAACTTCGCGTATGAAGTTACATAAAAGCACTTTGAATTTTGAAGTTGCTTAATGTGTTTTTGAATTTGTAATGAATTTTCCGCAGATTTTTCCTGTTGATTGTCACTGTTCCTTAAGAATTCTCTTTAAACTCGATTGAAATCATCTTTCAAATGTCTTTGAAATTTTACATTCCTTTTCAATGTACCTCTTTTCAAAAGTTTCCAAGGAATGTTTCCAGAAGCTCTTTGATATTCTCCTGGACTTCTATTTTGGAATCTTCCTGGTGATTTGCAAGAAACTATATCCTCCGAATTTGAATTCGTCTTAGATTTCATTTGAAACTATCATCAGATTGAGATTCTTTTCGATTTAATATCAGAATTCATTGAAAACTCTTCTCAGGACTTCCTTGGATTTTTGGTCAAGATGAATGGAATTCTCTTCAGAACTTTTTTCTTTTCTATCATCAGAATTCCCTTTAAAATTTTCATAATTTTTCTCCAATTTTCCATAAAATGCCATTATTAGGCTCAAAATTCCGCAAGAATTTCCCAACATTCAGTTATAAATATATTTTTTAATTCTGTTAAACTCCCATGACACCATCCCCAGATTTTTTTTTATATCTTTATTAAGGAGACTTTCAGCCGTTGGCTGGCACGTCTCCGACTATCCTCAGATGTTGTGAGTTTGAACTTCCATTAAATTCAACTCAAAACTAAAGCTAAATAACCTCACCTTGACGCTATCAAAAATATTAAATTCCTAGAATTCCTTTTTAATTGAATTAACTTAAAGTTTCAGATTCTTTTTGAATTCTTATCACAATTGGGATGTTCAGGGATCTTGATATAAATATGTAATCGTAATCTGCATTAAAAATTAAACCGAAATCCAAAAATTGGCCAATTTTTGTGTATTAGAACTATTTTAAATAAGTGCTATTATATTAGAAAAAAAAACACTATCTTAGCGCCCCTCGGACGGGCTTTGTGTGGGAGCGAGCTGTCAACTAATATTTTTTATCTAGTATCAAAAATTTAAAAATTTAAATCTTGATTTACAAATCGTAATTAAGGTTAATAAAATTGATAGAAATATCGTTGTACTCAGAAAACAAAGCTCTTTCAGGTGATGTTTAAAAACGGGTATGTTTTTTTTTCAAAATTAAACAATCCAATTCTCTTGAAATGTATGTCAGAATTTCTTAATTTTTTTCCGGCATTGCTTTGAAACTCTCATCAGAATTTACTTGGAGTTGTGGAGTTTTTGGTATTTTTGGGAACTGTCCTCTGAATGCTATTTGAGTTGCTTTCAGAGATTCTCTAAAATTCTCCTTGATATTTCCTCATAATCCTCTAGGAATTCACGTCAGAATTTTTATTAAATTCTACTTGATTGAATTTAGAATAGCGATCATAATAATCTTCTAGAATTTACCTAAAGCTTTCTTTACAAAGCCATTGAATTTCTTTTCAGAATGACTTTCTAGTCTCTATAGAGTTCGCTAAAAGCCGCTAAATAGCAACTACTCTTTGTGTGTCACCCTTGGCCGTTGTAGCCACATCTCACTACGGCACCAGGTGTGGCCTTTAAGTAGAAACTAGCAATATGGCCCGCCATATGCCTCCAGTTGAGCACCACTGATATAATGCGACAAATGGCCAGAGAAGCTAGAAATGTCAAAATGTCTATATTTCCACTACGACTGACCGGTGAATGGAACCTATGGAAACAACGTGTACTAACATGGCTCAGAATCAATTTTAACAGAATTTTACTGTATAAAGAAAGAGAGAAAAGGATTAGTAATTTCCGTTTTATTCGACTACCTTAATTGCTTATCCTTGGCAGATACGCGTATTTCGTCTAAAATGTGCAGACTTCTTCTGTATCTTGTACTAATACTCGACTATCTGTCTAGGATGTCAATCAATGGGTTAAATGGGGAATTACAGAAACAGCTAAATTTTTCCTGGATATTGAATTTGATTATGCGTTCGATCTTCAAAATTAACTACCTTGAAAATTAGCTCAGAACTTTTTACAAGATTGTATTGGAATGTTCTTAAAAATTTCTTTTAGAATCATTTGCAGCTTTGTTTTCAGAATTCCTTTGAAATAAAAGATTCTTTCCGGGAGTCCCAAATTTTGTAACAAAATTTGTATCAGTTTAGAAATTATCTGCAGAACACACCATGGAATTCTTCCTTCGATTCTCTTCGTATTTTGTATGATTAGTCCAAGTTCATTAAAAAATTTCAATTTCAAATTTGCTTAAATTTTCCATGGCAGTTCACTTCAGATTTTTTGAAATCTTGCTCAGAATTATCTTGAAATTTTGTTCTAAATTGAGTTGGAATTCTCCTTAGAATAATCTAAAAAAAAATTCGTGATACCCTTGGAATGAATCACATCATTCATGTACTTTATAAGTGGCATATTTCAACCCTCGAAGTTTGCCTTGCAACCATATATTGAGATTTTTTCTTCTAGATTCTCAAGAAAATAGGGTCTCATTTATGCTCTCGCTAAAATGTTAGCTATGAGTTATCTAATTTTGATATAATCTCTGGTAGAACTTCTTCTTCTTCTTCTTCTTCTTCTTCGCATTTCAAGCTTATTGCTTATGGCATATTAGCTTATTGCGTGCTCTCAACTTAGTGTTCTAGATGCACTTCCACAGTTATTAATTGAGAGTTTTCGATGCCTGCTACCATTTTTGCATTATAATTGTGTGGCAAGTCCAATCATACTTCTATGCCCAGGGAAGTCGAGAAATTTTCCAACCCGAAAAATTCCTAGACTTGACCGGGAATTAAACCCAGCCACCTCCAGCATGGTCTTGCTTTGTAGCTGCGCCTTTACCGACTGGTAGAAGGTTGTCCCTAAACTGACTGCCTGATAAATTCTCTTAAAGCTCTTCTGAAAATTCCTTTGGAAATGTCTGTTAAAAATTCGATTCCCATGAGAGTTTTCGCAGATCCTGAAATCCTCTTTACAACCGTCATGGAATTTTATTCAGAATTTCTCAACAATTCTATCCTGCTCTGAACTCACACAATTGGGTTCGAGGTCTATGCAAAACTCTCTTAGAGTTCTTCCCAAAACTCCCTTGTAAATTTTCTCTGAACTACCTCTTGAATTCATTCTGAAATCATGAAATATAATTCTTATCGAAATCTCATAAAATTTTTTCGAAGAGATTTATCCTGAAAATCTAGTCCAGTCCAAGAGTCTCATCACAAACGAAGTGACAGACGGAGTGGCTCGAAAACTTTGATGACGAACCTGCTATTGCAATTTTTCAGTGTACCACATGGCAACAC